CACCCCATCGATCCGCCAGAGTCTTATTTTTCAAAATATAATCATTGCTGTCTGTGCCAGTTACGGACCGGTTCTCCACAGCCCCCTCACCGACCCCATCGTCCTCCCGCCGTTGCCCCCAGCAGCCCCTCGGCTGAAAGGATCAAACTCGGCCCAATTCAGTACTTAGCCACCGGCCCGAACACCGCTGATACTTAGTGCGAGTTTAAGGCCCAGGGAAGCCAGTGACTGAACTCACACTTCATTCAAGGCAAACGACTGGAAATGTACACAAATTTCTAAGTGCAAAACACGTTTTCACTCCCAGCCAGGTTTCTACGCAGACTGGCATTTTGTCATAGATACAACTAGGAAAAAACTGAACATAGCCTTTGCTTACAAATAGCATGCTTTTAATAATAGGGATACCTGCAATTTATTGTAAACATCTGTTAATAACCCTAGGCGTGCAACAGACAAGCAACATTCAAAATTTTGCAAAGTTTGGCCTTTCTCCAGCTGCTTCAACTTCCACAGCAGAGAGTTGCAGCAGATGAAGCCCATACGTACTCAACCATACACATTTCAAAACCGTTTTTGTTTTTTACCAGAGAAAAACAAGCAAAATTATCTCAACTGTATGCCAATTTCAATGTGCCAACAGCATTAGGACAAAAATTAGTACTAAAATAATGTCATTCTGAAAATTTTCAAATATACCAAGTACGGTGATGCACAGAATTAACTGTGGGTTTTAGAGTATTACTCGTAATAACAAGCCACTACCAATGCCAGTGCAATAAATGTTTCAGTTTCACATTTAGCTGAAACCCAAGTGTCTCTCTGAACATCCCAGACCCATCTGCTGGCAACCTAAAAGAAAAAAAAAGAAAAAGCTATATTTGAATCTATATACAGCACAGGCTTTATGTATTTTTTTAAAAGAACACACAACATTATATAAATGCTGATATAATTGCATTACAAGAGTTACAAGTAGTAACAACTGCAAAATTCCAGTGAAAATGACAAGTCCTATTCAACGTTAAAATACATGTTCTTGCTTCACAGTAAGGCTCCCACCTCAACAGATCCAAAAAATCTCTACACCAAAACCTCATTCTCTCCCACGTTCACTCGTTAGTACTCCAGCATACTGTAACAGCACCCCTTCAAAGGCAACGTGAACAGACAGTAGTTTTGGGAACACACACAACTAAGAAGTCACGTCTCCCACACCCCTGCCTCCAGCTTACTCCAGTCTACTTGTGACCATTTACTGAGCTCTCAGCTTTTTTGATAAAATTGTTTTCAAAGCTAAAAATGTGGAAATAAACATATTCCTCAGCAGAAAAAAGTTAACTTGGACCATTTCAGTAACCCATTTTAACCTACAGCTCCTCAGTCAAAGTACAACTTCAGAGGCAGCGTACTGCGAGAGCACCAGGAGAACAGGTAGATGCAGGTCCCTCACAGACCGGCTTCGTTACTGAAGCTGGCAACCCTTCAAACATTGTTCCACGTCACCCACTAAAAACAGGTATGGTTTCATCAGGTTTTAAGAGCTGATGATGAACGCTCCTAAATAGAAGTGCTCCCCGACACTCAGCAAGATACCTAAACGTGTTCAGAATGCCAATGGGAGCTTGCAATACATGTAAATTTACATACAACACAGGAAAGTCTAGAATACTTTTGGGTGTGCCAAGTTTGGATCACTAATGTTAATCTGTAGTCCCAGGAGCGCGTTTGGTGGCAGCTACGGCTGAAACAGTTTCCATCCTGTTCCTTTCCATGTCACCATACTACAGCTGCACAGCATTTTGAGCAGAATGTGGAGATCAAAGTACATTGGAAAACGAAAAAGAAAATTCAGTGCGGTCATGCAATTGTTCTGGCCCAGCACACAGTGGAAACAACTGGTCGAACACGAAGAGCAGGCTGGGCTGCTTACCGCTGTCACTGAACTCACAAAGACGACAACCTTCACAGGGTTCGGTACCTTAAACTGTCACCCAGCATACTACCCACAAAAACCCCAAACGCTTCATCACCGCCTCAAACTAGTTCAGCTGATGAATGCGGATGAACACCTAGGAGATAACATACAGTTCTAAACATTATTTTCAATTTGCAAAAGGTATTATGAACAATATGTTTGCTCACATTTATTGGCTGACCTGCCTTTTCCACAATTAGTACTGATACAATGTACTCGTAACGGTCAAAGTCCAATTCTTTCACAGCCTTTAATATTTCTTCTGAGATTGAAGCACACAAGGGCGGACTAGAAACTCCATCATATTTGGCTTGTTGAAGTTTATTTCATCAAAAACAATTTTGAAATATCTTAGTTTTCATCCTGGCAGTTTTTGGCAAAAAAACTTACAGTTATTTCCATTACCAGAACATTAGAAGAGCTAACGAGTAGAATAGTCAATATAGATAAGGCTCTCAAACAGCAAAGGCTGTGCTATTTTTACTCTAAAATGTTTTACCTATTTTTTGAAAGTGACAAACATGGCCAACCAATCTCCATTTAACAAACAGGAGTGTCTTCTCCATCATTTGGGCTCAGTTCATGGGAAAATAGTGCTACAAATACCTGTTCCAAATATCCAAGGCATCTTCCAGATCACAGAATTACAGGAGTTGGTTGTAACTATTTAAGGTATCACTAACAGCTACATATTGTCCCAACAGATTGGGGTCTCCTTCATTTTTGCTTCATTTTTGTATGTGGCAGTCAGACTGTCAAGGACACCAAGTATATTTTATGTAGGTCATGTGATATTAGTAGAACTAATTGAAGGAGTAGAATTCCACAAATTCAAGGTCAGGATGTTTGGATAACTGGGTATTTTGCAGATTAGGGTACTCTGAACTGTGCTCTTGCTCAATTGATTTAGAAATGGGTAAGAGTTTGAGAAGCTTCAGCTCCGTCTTAACAGCACACGCTGAGTGGTAACATTGCAGAGGGCTTTCTGCACTCTGCACAACAGAACACATTCACATTACATTCGTGTGCCAAAACTCGAAGTCTGCAAAGACTTATGCGTATGTTTAAGCTTATGCAACTTAACACCGTTCCATTATTTTAACCTTTGCAAGACAAGCTACTTTTGCAATAAAATCAGACAATTAATTTAAGAAAATACTATACCGTCAGTATCGCTTGAGCTTTGTCTCTCACTAAATAACCATGAAATTTATTATGCGACTCCAGTCTGTATGTATCAGCATATCTCATCTTTGCCCTATTAGTCAGTAGCTTGGCTTTCATTGAATCACTGAAATACTCTTCTTCCATCGGAGCCATACCTAAAGCATCGAATTTGATTGTGTCCTTTTTCCCTTCGTCTGTGTAAAATAATAAAAAAAGCCCACATCCCATGTCAATATCTTATCATTTAACACTCTCTAAATAACAGTTTATGGTGTACAGATAAGAGAAAAAAAAAACACCACAATTAGTCTAGGAATACATTACAAAACCAGCAGAAAAGATAGAAAATGGGTATCTTCTGGCTGTTTTGACACTACCGCTTTGACTGAAAAAAGAGAAGAGTGCTTAATTCCCGCTCAGTTTTAACTTCTTTTTCCACTGTAATCCAAATGAAGTTTGCATTTAAACTCAGACACATCATACTAGCACTCTGAATCCACTCCATTTACACTCTGTGTAAAAACACAGATATTAACATGTGCCCAAGACTCTTAACTTCAAGCTTTTCATTCAAACAGCCTACACAAAACCCAAAATGCATGCTTAGTTCATTTACTACATAATTTTACTTGTCCCCATTCCTTGTGAGGCTACTAAATAAATGCCTTATGTATTAATGACTTAATTCGCTTATTAATACAAAAAAAAGGAAAAAATACGCTCCAATTTGCAAGCTTTGTAATTTTGCTTGGAACTTAAAAAGAGCAGCGCTTTTTTTTTATTTGCGATCAGAACTCTGAAGATCCAAGCTTCCTCCCCATCCAGCTTCTGTACTATCATTCTCTTCAACACACATAACAAAATTTAGCCCTCTATGAGTACAAGCAGTGAGTCTGATGATGCACGCAAAAGATGTCACCTGCTGTCCTCCATGACTGGCCTAAAACAGGACTATAAAATGATAACAAAACAAGACAGAGACAGAAAAGCACATGGAACCAATGAGATCATAACAAATGATAGAGACAAGTGGTCTTCCATACCAGCTACCTCCTAATTAACCCCTTTCAAGTTTTGCTGACTCTTCAGTCCCTTGCTCCACTTCCTGACTACTAGCTAGAACTTAGGTGAGAGAAAATCATCAGTTCCTTCTTAGAAGAGCAGAATAGATCATGAAGGTGATGTAACACCACAGTGCAAGGCTTACACTAAGAAGTATAGAAAAAACTCACACACGGATAATATAAAAGTCTAGTGAGAATTATTTGAAAAGATGCACTACACAGGGGCTCACAAATCTTTCAGTCAGAGGAGTTTGAGAATAAAGGAAGTAATGCAGTTTCTTCTCTATGAAATCACTCACACATTAGCCCTGTCCACACCTTGGACATTACCTCCATCTCTCCTCTGGTTCCTTAGCATTAGATAATTCTGTTAAAAACCAATGATGTTAGCAGCCCTAGTGCAAATTGACTGCAGGTGTCTGTGGATACCATGCCAACAATGCAAACTCTAAATAGTACTTACACTATGATAAAGATGCAAGGAGCAAACACGTTTGCACTTAGGCTGTGGACACTCATTATCTTTTACCTGAAACTCAGATCGATGAAGACTATAGCTCCTACCTGCTCACCACAGGTCTCCTAACAGAATAAAACCATCTCAAGTCTGCCAGCTGAGCTGCTCAAAAGAGCATCCCAATCCATGTCAGTGGAAATGAACCCATGAAAAAGGTCACAATCCAAACAGCAATGCTTTGCTAACATGCTTCAGCACGTGTCACTACACCTTCAGCCTGTACCACTACAGATGGAAGAAAATTCATGTCTAGAGCACACAACTTTTAACAATGCTGTTACTTACAAGTTTAATTGCTATTATGAGTGACAGAAATTTTCATAATCACCTGCTCACGTGCAAGAAGCCATTTACTAATGAGGCAACCAAAAACCTTACTGATATCTCTACACAAATGACTAACAAATAAACTTCTCTATTTCACAATACAAATACTGTGATTCCAAGTTTTAGCACAACGCTGCAATTACATTTCTGTAATGCATCCTTTGTGAAAGGATCTCTGAAAAAATTCAAGAACTAACTTTGCATTTGACTATACCAAAGCCTGTTCCTATATTACTGGACTCTACTACATTGGCTTAACCTTAGACATACAGAGGTAAATATGCTGAGAGAAGAAAGCTTTTGCTATTTGAAAGAAATGCTGTTTGATAATAATTCACCAAGCAATTGTTGCTTTAAACAGTTCTTGTTGATTTCTTCAAAAGAGGGAACACCTCCTAACTTAAAGGACTTACAGCAGCACCCCAAGACTGCGCCACCAAAGGGAGGTCTGCCCTTGCCTTCTTTTTCCCTTTCAAGGCTTTAACAACTTTGCCTCCCAACGCCTAAGCTGGCACACCAGCTGCAAGGTGGATGTGAACGTGGTATCTGACCAAGGAGAAAGAGGACGAGCTATCCCAAACTGGATATAAACCAGATGAAAACAGCATTTCTGATACAAGCTTTCACAAGATCACACTCACCTTTTAACCACGCACCGAGCCCCACGTTCCTCCATACACCGTACCGTCCTTCCGAAGG